CATTCAAGTATTGATAGCACAATTCTGAATATTCTACAGTTATTTAACGCATAGTTAAAGTGTCACATAAAGGCCAAGTGGGAGATTATTGGGTTTTTTTAATAAATGGGTCTTGTTATATGTAACAGACTATCGATTTATGGGTTCGTTTAAAAGTGATCAAATACGTATTAGACGGGATTAGGTCTTAATGCATCAAGTTTAGGTATGGGCTCAATGTGTAAATACTTTTTTTGTAATTTTTTATTTTATGATGAGCAAAATAGAAAATACAAAAGTATATCGATATAAATAGGCAGTTATGATCTCCGAATTACATCTGCACTATTTTATTTTTCTGAAATTTTGTCACTAGAGAAAAATAGATTTTGAGGTCGTGTGTTGATTCGGAAATATCTATCGTAGAACGCAATCAAATCTTCCGCAATGGATTCAGGTACGTTTTCGTTTATCATTTCTTATTGATTCGATATGAGATTGCATTTTTATATTTATCAGATCTGATTTGCTTTGAAAAAAAATTTTAATAATATGAACATAAAATTTATGAGATCACATTTTAGTATATATATATACATATATATTGCTCTAAATTAGTTTCACATGACTAAAGAGTGTTAACAGTTATGATTCACCATTGTTGTGACTTCATCAAATTGAATTAGGATTCAGGAATTAGTTAAATTTTTCAAGATTAAGAGAACGTTTAAATTATTTAGAATGAAAAAACAAAACACTTATTAACGGATTATATATTATGAAAATTTGGATTATCTCTAGTTGGAGTTAAAATTTATGTAGTCCTATCTAACTGAGCATTTTTTAACTTATTCAAAAAAAAGTTAAACTAAACCAGAGAGTGTGATTCTTCTTGCATTGAGCTTTAATGTTTTTGATTATGAGTTGATTTGTATCAAGTGTGTGTATATATATATATACATATATATTTTCCTTCCGGAGGCTTAGTAAAGCTTTGTTCTTTTCATGTCAGTTTTGAAATGAAAAGGTTAGAAAAACTTGGCAATAGGAAATTTATACATTAATTAACTGATCGATACATATATATTAATTAAAATATAAAAATAATTTTAAAGAGACACCACAAAAGGGAGCACAATTTGATTCAAAACATATTACCACTTTTAAAAGAAATAATATGTTATCCATAAAACTAACCGGTAATGTAATAATATAATTTCATGGTGCTACAATCGAAATTATATGATATATGAAATTAATTTTATACAGAATTTTAATAGCATAATGAAATTTGCAGATATTACCTCTTTTTAATTAATTCCATTGATTCAAAAGTTTATTTATCCAAAAGTTCTTTAGTCAATTTATTTAAATCCTAAATTGATACATAGTTCTAAAAACTTTCAAATTTTATTTCATGACATAATTTTACATAAGAGCATATGAACAAAAAAAAAAAAAAAAGAGAGAGCAGAGAAGAGTAGGTTGAAATATCTGCCCAGATGAGTACTTGAAAGGGGATTTTTTTTCACTTCAATTTCTCCGTCACTTTGATCTGAAAGGAATGGCTCTGATCACTATCTGATGGTATAAGGCGGCAAGTGCTGCTCCAATGAAGGGTCCTACCCAGAATATCCACTGCATCAATCAAATAAGAAATACAAATTAAATCAAGCATTCAGATTGTATATACAATATACGTATACATGTAATATGATGAGGTTAAAAAAGAAGAGATGAAAAAATGGAAGTTAATTACATGGTCATCCCAGGCTTGGCTCTTGTTATAAATGAGAGCTGCACCAAGACTCCTAGCTGGGTTAATACCAGTCCCTGTGACTGGGATGGTAGCCAAATGCACCAAAAACACAGCAAACCCAATCGGCAGTGGAGCCAGTATCTGACATTATTATTTGGAATTTTACTTCGTTAATTCACAATATATACATATAAGTAGTAGTTAAAGAAGTTATGGTAGGTGTAGCTCTTAATTACCGGGACATGGGAATCTCGGGCATTACGCTTGGCATCAGTGGCGGAGAAAACAGTGTAGACAAGAACAAAAGTGCCAACAATCTCAGCTCCAAGCCCAGCAGTTTTGCTGTAAGCTGGCCCAACGGTGTTGGCTCCGCCGCCGAGCATTTCGTATTGAGTTTTTTCAAATGCCTTCACCACCCCAGCGCCGCATATGGCTCCCAAACATTGCATTATCATGTAAAACACAGCTCTGACAAGCGACAACTTTCTAGCCAGCAACAGTCCGAATGTCACCGCTGGGTTAATATGACCCCCTTCACGCACCCATTAAATTATCATAAACTGAACTTCTACGCATACAAGTTTTTTAAATTAATGCTCGGGGTGTAAATATATATATATATATATACCTGAAATTCCAGCAGTGCAGTAGACGAGGGCAAATATCATGCCACCAAAAGCCCAAGCAATGCCTTGAATGCCCACAGTGGAGCACTTGGTTGGGGATTTGACCACACCCATGACAGTCAACACTGTGATGTACAGAAACAAGAAAGTGGCGACGAACTCGGCTATGCCAGCTCGGTAGAAGGACCAGGAGAAAAGCTCTCCGGGCTCAATGAGCGGCGCTGGAGGTGGCTCGGTGTAGTCTTTGGCATCTTGGGTCTGAGCTGCTGTTCCAATTGGTTGTCTCTCTCTGTACCTGTTCGCTCCCAATCTAACATCTTCTTCCTTCCCTTCCATTTTCAGCTTCTTCGTCTTCTTTCCCTAATTTTTCTTGTTCAGTGATGGTAAAATGAGGACAAGAAAGTAGAGAGGAGAGGAAGGGTATTTGTAGTTGAGCTCATTGATCGCTTTGGGAGCAAAGTTTGACATTATACTTTTTTGCTTTGTGGCATTACATGTGACCCACCATCCACTCCTAATGCACTTTCTGTATTTCTTCACTAGCAAATTACATCTCACATTTTATTATCAAACTAAGATTATCACATTCAATGTTTTTCCTTATCAAAAATTAATATTACTTTTGATGGATACATATAAAAAAATGATAATATTATTTATTCATAAATGCATACATATATATATATATGTGTTAATGTACTGTGTATGTATAGTCGTCCGATTGAGCACAACTAAATAAAAAGTTCAAAAATATATATATATACAAAAGCAGTTTTTTTCATTTAAAAAAAAAACCATAAATATTATCCAACATATACCCAAAAACTTGTAATCATTAAAAAAGAAAATGAAATTGGATTTTCACCCAAAATAAATAAATAAAAAGATAGTGGGTCACCCATTATGATTCCTTTTTTTTTTGTAATTTTTTATAGATATACTAAACAAAATATAGAAGTGAATCAATTATGACGAGGAACATATGTGAATGGACCGACCTTTTCCACCGACTTTAGTATATAAATTCAAAATTTTCCTTTTTGGCAGCCCGGAAATTTGAGAGAAAAAACAAGGAGAGAATAAAAGAGAAAGTAGTGGGTGTGTATTGTTCGTTCTCGACCACATATTCCCCCAAGATACCAAGAAAATTGTATCCACCACAACGTCCAGTCATGTGTATCATGAACCTTCAATTATTTTTCTTTTTTTAAAAAAAAATTACAATTCTGTTTCTGTATTTTGAATAAACATTTGTTCAATCTCAACACACTAATAAATAATTTTAGAAAATTAAACATCCTGAGAAATCCAAAAACATTAATAACCTATTAGAGAAAGCGCTGACCAAAATTATCTCAAATTTAATTTAAAAATTTTTTTATTTATTTTTTTCATATTTAGAAATTTATTATGTGTTTTTAAAAAGAAAAATAAAAAAAAAAAGACTTATTTATCTTTCAACATAATTTTACTGTCTACAATTAGTTTATTAAACGACCTTCTAATATCTATTCAAAATATTAAGAGTAAATAAAATTCATAGAGCAAAAAGATTTCTTTTTCAAGTAATGATTTATGCATTTCAATATTTAAGTAAAATTTACTCATCAATAACAATGTAATCAACCTTTTAATAAGGATACACGTAAAAAACACACCCTGCATACTATATGATAAATATATTGATTATGTGAAGTCAATCATATTTTCAAAAAATAATATAAAAATACTAACAACACAGTAGTATAATGGTTAAAAATTTATATTTTATTTGAACATTACGAATTTGAATCTCACTGATAACATAAAATATTTTTGTTTTTTATAAAACTACTTCAATACTAATTATATATGTGCGGACTTGAATTGCACGTTAATCTTGAGTTTTGCGTCAAATCATTTTTGAGTTTTGTTCGAGGACATGGAAAAGGGTTTCGGCATTACCAGTGCGAGGCTATTGATTGAGTAAATTGGAAGGGATGGACTTTGTCTTGGCGACAAGGCTCGGAGAATTAAATGTTTACAATTGGGAATAGTTTTGTGTTTTCAGAAAGACTAGGGAGCTGGGGCTGGTGCAGGGCCAAGTCAGTATCCTCAAATGCCAAGGCTAATTCAATATCTGCCTTCAATTCCTTGACCAACAAAACTATGTATAACTATTTCACTTCATATATATATAAGTACATAACTAAAAAAATTTAATTATGCGGAACCACGAATATTTAAACTTACATTTGAAATCGCAAAATAAGATAAATCATGTTACAGTAAATATTGAATAAATTAAAATTAAAATTAAAATATTTTTATCAATTTTTTATACATGAATTTCAATAACAATTAAAAAGAAAATGTGCTGGAGAGCATATAGTATTGACAAACAACTAAAAATTATATTTTAAGTTTATTAAACTTATCTTTTAAAAAGCTTAATAAACTAATTTGTAATTATGTCCAAACATAAAGACCTTTTTTTCTAATTTACCCTGAAAATATTAACCCCAATATAAAACGTTTAATGTTAGCTCTATAATTTGTGGGTATTAAATTTCTGGGCTGGAGTTTTGGCATTCCGGCCTATAATTTGTTTATGGGTTTTGTTTTTCGTAAACTCAAATTTTATGCTATCATTACCATTTATTTATTACATGCGCTGACTTGACTGGCCGGTAAATGTTGGGTTTTTTTTATAGCTGAATTTCCGTCAACATACTCGAGTGCCTGATGATCTTCGGTAGCTTTTTACTAACGATGTCATGGATGTCTCTTGATCACCGACGTGTATGAAAAACTATTTTAAGTATCTTTAACTCTCTTGTAATAAAAAAAAAAAAAAGGTTTCAGAATTTTTAGGCATCAGAGAAATGCATACGAATTATATTGGGCTTCAAGTTATTTGTGGGCTATGCTGGCCCAAGCTCATTAAGAATACTTTTACCCAATTGTTGGACTCTTTCTAAACTCAAACTCTACAAGTACTTACATTGGGTTTAAGTTTAAATAAATTAGATTCTTGTTCAATTTATAAATCCTACTTATTTAGCATGTAAAACTTACTTGTTATATATAATTAAATCATTTTTGTTTTAATTTTATAATCACATATTTCGTATTCTTATTTGTTAAGGATTGATAACATGATCAATTTAAATTCGACAATTTATTATATTTGATCAATTATTTTTTTTGATTGAATTTAGATATTTTTATATTTTTTGTTATGACAATACGGGTTTGATCGTGTGTTGTGTATCTTGTATGTTTTTAAAAGATTGTATTACTATTAATTTACAAGTATAACCTAATAAATAAAATGTAGAACTACTGTTATAATTTAAAATTTTTTAAACAAAAATCCTGAAATTATATATGGGTGATTGATGTATTGGGGGGGGGGAGAAAAATAAGTGGGAGAGAAATTGAAAATGTGGAGGAATCCCACTAGTTGTTGACTCAACCAAGGAATCTCTTTAATTATATGATTACCTAAATCCCCTGGTGTCTGCCACAATCCATTCGTGCAACCCCAAAAAGTGGCCAAATTCAAAGTGGAAACACAATTTCACAAACCAGGAGAAGAAGAAGAAGAAGAAGAAGAAGAAAGAAGAGGCAAAACACTTTTATATATATATATATATATATATATATACATATGTATATACTTTTTTGTTTTATCCAATTGTTCTTTTTTTTTTTTTTGGGTTTTCAACAAGTTGATTGCTTTTATGGATGAATTAGGGTTTTGGTGAGTATGTATGTGCACCATATTGAGAAGCTGTAGGGCATATCCCACTATCTTTTGTTCCCAATTTCTCCTTTTTTCATCTCCCACTATTAAAACTTTCTCCCCCCCTTTTTTTTTTCTCTTAGTAGCTAAGTACTGCAAGGAGTTTAAATCTACCTGTTGCTTAATATTTATTAATTAATTTTTTAGACTCATGTTTCTCAATTAAATGTCAACATGAAATATAACGAATTTGTTTTATTTTACTAATTTTATATATATGTATATATATATATATTAATGTTGGCATGCCAAGATTTTTGTTTTCCATTGTAATATTTGGCTTCATCTAGCATACATATATATATATAATTTTTGTAAGAACTAAAAAATGAAGACTGAAAATTTAGTGATTACTTTGGCATGCTCCATAACAAATTCACACAATCCATCTAAAAGCAAGGCCAAAAGATAATAAAGCAAAGGAAAAGAGGCTATCACGTGAGTTTATATATATATATATATATTATGTTACATTATACATACATATACGTATGCAACGTTTTGAAAACTCGGAAAAAAGTGTGATCTTTTTAGTTGCAAATAATCTGGCATATATATGCATTAGATTTGGTGAATATACTAATCTTTTTCAATTATTGGGTGCTACCATGTTTATTTTATTTATTTGCAAATAATTAACACTAATTAAACTCCTTAATTTTATTATTTATTTATTTTTTAATAGAGGAAGAAAAGAAAATTTGAAGTCAAAAGATGCTCTCAGATTGGATGGTTCCTATAAAAATGAAGGGACAGATGTTAATCATTACTTAATCAGTCCATTGCCTTCCTTATATACTTATACATCAGATTCTATATACCAATACACATATATATTAAATTCTCTAGTTAACGATACTGAAATATATAAGTATTATAATATATACTTAGGATTAATATAAAAATTAAAATTATAAATTAAGTGAAAATTTAAACTTGAAGTTATTGAAGAGAATGGAGATGTAGTGATAATAGCAGTTGGGCCCCCACCTCGAATGTCTGTCTTCGTCTGCACCTCCAAATAACTCCTCTTATCTTTTCTATTTTTAGATTACCATTTTGCCCCTCTACATTACCCAAAATAACAAATGAACCAAACCTTGCTCCTCTATGATTTTTTCAACATACATTACGTAACACCCTTTTGTGTAATCTAATTAAATTTCCAATTAAAAAAAAATTTAAAATAATTAAATTATATTAATTAATAATAATTAATCAATGAAAATTATTTTTGTAAAATAAAAATATGATTTGTTTGGGATAGAAGCATTAACTCCAAAATGGGCTTTATCTTTAAGTGGAGCCCACTCCCATGTCATGTCCCCCACCACCCCCGTTAGGACTCATGGGCCCTTACAAAAATACAAATTAATTTTCTCAACCTAATGCACCTTTAACAAACCCTTTTTTTTTTTTTTTTTTCTTAATTATATAATTAATTTCTATTTTTACATTAAACAATAAAAATATCTTTTTTTTTTTTTTTTGAAAAGATTGATTTGAAATATATGCATATACCCATTTGAGTCTAGAGAAATATTCGCTTGGGTTCTGATTATCACCACCAATTCTTGTCTCCTCAAAATGGAAAACCATGTGCGATCAATTTTCTTCCCAACCAAACAACAATAACCCAATT